CGAAAAATGGATACTTTTCTGATGACTGACTGACTGACGGTTATCTGTTGTTCCTCAGTGTCAGGTTGGCCTTCGCTGGAGCACCATGATGAGGAAGGTGTGCTGGTATTTCAGTGTCTTTTTTTTTTTTTTTTTGGTCTTTTTCTTTTGTTTAGTGAAGAGAGCGGTATTCCTTTTTTTAGATTTCGTTCTGATAGCAGTAAAATTCGGTCATGTGGATCTTGTGAATATGCAATGTAGGTTTGTAGATGTGGTCTATCCATGGATTTTTTTCTATATTTATCTATGTCAATATAGGTTTTATTTTCAGTGACAAAAACTGTCTCGCGACACTAGAAAATGTCGCATATTATAGTTACTGTTTTTCTTATATCGTTTATGCTTTAGTTTTGGGCATATTCAGGCCTCCAAAAGTGTTCCATGACGAATAATATACGGAAGTATCTGTTTTCTTTACAGAATGTGTTCGAATGTTAAAAGAATATTACGAAAATTACATTAGGTTTTAGATAATATTTTACTTGTTTACGTATGTATAATTGAATATAAGCTTAAACTTATATATCCTATTAAATGTAGTTAATACCAATTAATAAATAATGCCAATTTCAAAATATCTAAAGAAGTGTGACCTTCGAAACCAGTGTCGACAGACGAAGGAAAAAGTAGGGTGGGAGGCGCTTAGGGCCCGCGCATTTTCAAATGATTTCGAGAGTTTTCCTCCTGCAGCCGGTATCTCACGCCCTCCTGCTGGTGCTCGCCCTCTTCGCCCCCTCCTTCGTGTATGGGGCGGGAGAGCCGACCTTACCCGACATCTGGCTGGTCGTCGAAGATTCTTATGACTCCAATGTCATGGTGACCTTTCCTGACCTGGTAAGTGGGGTTTGTAAGTAGGTGTGTAAGTAGGTTTGTAAGGGGTTTAAAACCGGGTTGGTGAGTATGTTTGTGGTTGGGTTTATAAGTTGGTAAGTGGATTTGTAGGTGGGTTTGTAAGTAGATTTGTAAGTGGGGTTTTAAAAATCGGGTTGGTGAGTATATTTGTCGTTGGTTTATAAGTTTGTAGGTGGATTTGTAAGTAGATTTGTAAGTAGGTGTGTAAGTGGGGTTTAAAACTGGGTTGGTGAGTATATTTGTCGTTGGGTTTATAAGTTTGTAAGTGGGATTTGTAAGTAGGTTTGTAAGTCGGGTTTTAAACCGGGTTGGTGAGTATATTTGTCGTTGGGTTTGTAATGGATTTGTAAGTGGGGTTTAAAAACCGGATTAGTGAGTGTTTGTGGTTGGTTTTATAAGTTGGTAGTGGATTTGTAAGTAGATTTGTAAGTAGGTTTGTAAGTCGGGTTTTAAACCGATTGGTGAGTATATTTGTAGTTGGTTTTTATAAGTTAGTAAGTGGATTTGTAAATAGATTGTAAATAGGTTTGTAAGTGGGGTTGAAAACCGGGTTGGTGAGTATATTCGTAGTTGGGTTTATAAGTTAGTAAGTGGATTTGTAAGTAGATTAGTAAGTAAGTGGGGTTTAAAACGCTTTAGTAAGTTTAATTGTAGTTGGGGTTACTAAGTTAGTAAGTGGATTTGTAGGGTGGGTTTTGTAAGTAGGGTTGAAAACCCGGGTTGGTGAAGTATATTTTGTAGTTGGTATTATAGTTAGAAGTGATTTGTAAGTGGTTTGTAAGTAGATTAGTAAGTAGGTAAATGGGGTTTAAAACAGTTTGGTAAGTTTATTTGTAGTTTGGGTTTATAAGGTTAGTAGTGGACACGCTGTTTATTATCACATTTCTAACCACAAAGGAATCCCACACCCTTTCATAATCACAACTTATTTACAACCAGTTTTACCCTCTCCTCCCCATTATAATCCACAACTTTTTTCAGTTATCTCATCATCTCAACCATTTTTCCCCTTCTTCCCCTCCATCTGCATTCACAACCCCCACACTCACCAAGCCCTTTATACCTTTCACCATCACAACTTGATTCACAACCTACAAACGTACCAACCCCTTATAACTTTCCCAATCACAACTCATTCACAACCCCTTATTCTTCACAACCACAATTGATTCACAACCCCTTATACCCTTTTCACAACCACAACTTGATTCACAACCTACACACGCACCAACCCCTTATACCTTTCACAATCACAACTTGATCCACAACCCCTTTACCCTTTCACAATCACAACTTGATCCCACCTTACACCCATTCACAACCACAACTTGATTCACACTAACGCACCAGCCCCTTATACCTTTCACAAATCAACAACTTGATTCACAACAACACACCACCGACCCCTCATACCTTTCACAATCACAACTTGATTCACAACCCCTTATACCTTTCAACAAAGCAAACTTGATGCCACAAACCTCCCACACGCACCAACCCCTTATTCCTTTCACAATCACAACTTGATTCACAACCTACACACGCACCAACCCCTTATACCTTTCACAACCACAACTTGATCCACAACCCCTTATACCCTTTCACAATCACAACTTGATTACAACCTACCACACGCATTCGACAACTTATACCCATTCAAATCACACTTGATTCACACCCTTACCCATTCACACCACAACTTGATTCACAACCTCCACACGCACCACAACCCCCTTATACATTTCACAACCACAACTTGATTCACAACATTATACACACACCACCTACCCATTCACATTATGCTCCACAACCCCTTATACCCTTTCACAACTTTTGAAATTACCAACTCCCTTATAACCTTACCCTTTCACAACCAACAACTTGATCCACAACCCCTTATACCCTTTCACAACCACAACTTGATCCACAACCCCTTATACCATTCACAACCACAACTTGATCCACCCAAAACCCCACAACCACGTACTTTTTCATCACATCCCACGTATACCCTTTCACAATCCCAACCTGACCCACAACCCTTATATACCCTTTCACAATCAAAAACTTGATCCACAACCGACACACGCACAAACCCAAGCTTATACCTTACAATCAATAACTTGATTACAACCTTATCGCATTTCACAACCCACATTTGATTACCCCCTTATCGCTTTCACAACCACAACTTGATCACACAACACCAACACACCGCACCAACCCCTTATACATTTCACACCACACTTGATCCACAACCCCTTATACCTTTCACAATCACAACCTGATCCACAACCTCCACACGCACAGAGAGTCGGCGCAAGCATGAAATCGTCCCGGCGCTGTTGACATCGGCGAAGAAGCAAGGCGTTTTTTTGGTTCCCACAACCCGAGCATGGCAAGATCACCAAGACGAATTACTACACGAAGTCAAGCCAGACTCTCGTGGTGAGCGGGACGGACTGCGAAGTGGGAGGGTGAGCTATGCTATTTTTTTTTATTGTTTTATAATGTGTTGGTGTTGTTATTGTTTTTTATTTGTTGTTTTGTAATGTTGTTGGTGTTTGTTATTGTTTTTTTTGTTGTTTTTGTTTGTTATTTGTTGTTTTCTCGTAATGTTATTGTTGTTATTGTTGATATTGTCGGAGGGTTATTTTTTCTCTTTTTGTTTTGTTGTTGTTCTCTCGTAATGTTGTTGTTGTTGTTATTGTTTTTTGTGGCAGACACCAAGACGAATTACTACACGAAGTCAAGCCAGACTCTCGTGGTGAGCGGGACGGGACTTGCGAAGTGGGAGGGTTGAGCTATGCTATTTTTTTTTTATTGTTTTATTATAATGTTTTGTTGGTGTTGTTATTGTTTTGTGGCAAGATTCCAAGACGAATTTATACGCAAGTCAAGCCAGACCTCCTCGTGGGTGAGCGGGACGGACTGCGAAGTGGGAGGGTGAGCTATCTTATTTTTATTTTTTTATTGTTTTATTATAAAATGTTGTTGGTGTTGTGTATTGTTTTTTTTATTGTTGTTATTTGTTTTTTTATGTTGTTGGTGTTGTTATTGTTTTTTGTTTTGTTGTTTTTTTTGTTTTGTTATTTTTGTTGTTGCTCTTCTGTAATGTTATTGTTGATATTGTCGGAGGGTGAGCTATTTTTCTCCTTTTTTTGTTTTTGTTTTGTTGTTGTTTTGTTGTTATTGTTGTTGTTATTGTTTTTTGGCAAGATCACCAAGACGAATTACTACACGAAGTCAAGCCAGACTCTCGTGGTGAGCGGGACGGACTGCGAAGTGGGAGGGTGAGGAGCTATGCTTTATTTTTTTTTTATTTTTTTATTGGTTTTTTTGTTGTTTTGGTTTTTGTTGTTCTTGTAATGTTTATGTTTTGTTGTTTGTTTTTTTGGTTTTGTTGTTGTTTTCTTGTAATGTTTATTGTTGTTGTTATTGTTTGTTTTTGGTTTTGTTGTTGTTTTTCTCTTGTAATGTTTTATTGTTGTTGTTTGTATTGTTTTTTTTTTTTGGTTTTTTGTTGGTTTTGTTTCCTCGTTAATGTTATTGTCGTTGTTATTTGGTTTTTTGTGGCAAAGAATCACCCAAAGAACGAATTACTTACACGAAAAGTTCCAGCCAAGACTCTCGTGGTGAGCGGGAAACGGTGACCTGCGAAGTGGGTGAGGGGGAGCTTATCTCTATTTATTATTAATATTAATTAATTATTATTTTTTTTTTTTTGGGGGGGGGGGGGGTTTTTTGTTTTGTTTGTGCCCCTCTTGTAATGCTGGTTGGTGTTGTTTGTTATTTTTTTTTTTCTGTCTCGTAATATTATTGTTGTTGTTATTGTTAATATTGGTCCTGAGTCCGGAGGGTGACCTATTTTTTTTTTTTTTTTTGTTTTCTTCTTTGTAATGTTTGTTGGTGTTTTGTTATTGTTTTGAGTATTGTCGTAAGTCGGAGGATGAGCTTATGCTTATATATATAATATATATATATTATATATTAATTTATTTGTTGTTTGTTCTCTTGTTAATATTAATTGTTATTGTTATTGTTTTTTGTTGTTGTTTGTTTTTTCTTGTAATTTCATTGGTGTTATTTGTTTTTTTGTTTTTTTATTTTGTTGTTTTGTTGTGTTTCTCTCGTAGATTGTTATTGGTGGTTGTTTAATTGTTTTTTAAAGTTTGGTTTTTTTTTTTGTTATTTTCTGTTTGTTTTTTCTGGTAAATGTTATTGGTAATTGTAAGTTTTTTTTTTTTTGTTATGTTGTTGTTCTCTTTAATTTTATCGTTTTGTTGTTGTTGTTTTTTTTTGGGGGTGGGGGGGGGGTGTGTTTTTTTTGTTATTTTTTTGTTTGTTCTTCTCTTAATGTTTATTGTTTTTTTTTTTTTGGTTTTGTGTTGTTGCTCTCGTAAATTGTTTTAATGTTTTTGTTGTTTAATTGGTTTTAATAATTGTCCTGAAAGTCGGAGGGTGAGCTTAATTTTTATTTTTACTTTTATTTTTTTTTCGTTATTTTGTTGTTTGTTTCTTCTGTTAATGTTTTGTTGGTGTTTTGTTAATGGGGTTTTTTTTTTTTTGTTTTTTTTGTTTGTTTGTTTGTTGTTGGCTCCTTGTAATGTTATCCGTTTGTTGTAATTGTTTTTTTTTTTTTGTTTTAGTTTGTTTTTATTTTGTTCTCTCGTAATGTTGTTTGGTGTTGTTTTATTGTTTGATTTATGCCGGAGGGTGAGCTTATTTTTTGTTTGTTTTTGTTTTTGTTTGTTTTTTGTTCTCTTGTAATGGTTTTATTTTTCTTCGTTATTGTTAAATATTGGTTGGGAGGTTGAGCCTATTTTTTTTTCTCTTTTTTTGTTTTTGTTTGTTGTTTCTCTTCGTACTGTTTTTAATTGGTTGTTTGTTTGGTTTTGTTTAAATTTGTCCGAAAGGGGTTGAGCTATTTTTGTTTTTTTGTTTTGTTTTGTTTTTTGTTTGTTCTCTCGTTAATGTTATTTGTTTTTGTTACTGGTTATATTGTGGGGGAGGGTGAGCTTATTTTATTTTTTTTTCTTCTGGTTTGTTTTTTGTTTGGTTGTTCCTCTCGTAATGTTTTTATTGTTGTTGTTATTGTTAATCATTGTCCCTGAGTCCGGAGGGTGAGCCTTATTTAAATTTATTTTCCGTTTTTGTTTTTTGTTGTTCTCTTTATTTTTGTTAATGTTTCTTGTTTTGCTGAATTTATTAATCGTTTTTCCTCGTAAATTCGGAAGGGTGAACTTTTTTTATTTTTATTTGTTTATTATTTTTTTTTTTTATTGGTGTTTTGTTCTCCCTTCTTTTTATAATGTTTTCCCTTGGTTTGTTTATTGGGTTTATCTTTTTTATCGTAAGGCGGAGGGTGAACTATTTTATTTTTTGGCTTTGTTGTTGTTTGTTGATGTTTATTTGTTGTTTATTATCCCGTAAGAATATATGTATTATCGTTTGTTTTTTTATGCCCAATTGTTAATTGTTTGTTCTTATCACTTATCTTTAAGAGATATTTGTTTATTGTTGTTATTATCACTGTTATCTCAAGAGATTTATTGTTTATTAATTTTTTCACTGTCCAATTAATGTTTGCTTTTGGTATTGTTATCTTAAAAAAATATTATCATGCTTTTTATGTCATTATCATTGCTATTGTTGATGTTCTAAACAAGTTTTATTTATGTATTTTCCTTGACACTTACTGTAAATTCAATAAGATTAAAAACTCTTTTCCGACGTTGAACAAAATCTGAACAATCAACATTGAACATTCATTTAGATTTAAAAAAGTGTACACTTCTCTATTTATGAAAATTCAAAAAAATGACTTATCTCTATATATAACATAAAATATCACACAAATCCATTTTTGTTTTAGAAATTTTCAAAACACTTAAATATTTTCAAATTCCACTTCTCGAAATTGACACTTGCCTCTCCTCTCCCTTATACTCTTCCTTCTCTTTATACCCTCCCACCTCCTTCCCCTTATACCATTTACCTCCCTTTCCCCTTATACTTACCCTTGCACGTCTTCTTTCCCTCCTACCTTTCCCCCGCTCCACCTCCCTCCATCCTCATACGCTTCCTCCACCTCCTCTCCCCTCATAACCCTCCCCNCTGAGGGCAGAGAGAGAGAAGAGACGAGATGAGGAGACACACGAGAAAGAGAAAGAGAAAGAGAGAGAGAGAGAGACGAGAGATGAGAGAGAGAGAGAGAGAGAGAGGAGAGGAGAGAGAGAGAGAGATGGAGAGTAATGCAAAATCAAACACGGAAAAAAGAGTTCCAAGAGGAGGGGGAGGGTGGGAAAACGAAATGAAGGGGAAGTGGCGGGGGATGCTTGATTTTCGTGATGTTTGTGAGAGATAACAAAGAAGATGCTCGCAACGGGGACAGGGGGCGTGGGAGGGGTGGATGAGGAGGAGAAAAAAGGAAGAGGAGAGGAGAAGTGATGGAGTTGGAGGAGGAGGAGGAGGAGGAGGCAAGTGGAGGAGAAGGAGAAGGAGGATGTAAAGGAGGAGGAGAAGGACGATGTGAAAGAGGAGGAGAAGTGATGTGAAGAAGGAGGAGAAGGAGGAGGGGGAAATGGAGGAGGCACACACAAACACACACACACACAAACCCCCTCCTCCTCGCCCGCCCTCTACCACACACACACACAAACCCCCTCGCCCTCCCCCATCACGCCCACAAACCGACGGGTCCGCAGCGCCGCCCGACGTCCCGCGGCCCGAAGAGACCGCCCCGAAGATCGCTCTTAACGATAATGAACGCGACGGTCGGGATGCGCACGAGATAAATGGCTCGATAGTCCGAGAGAAAAAAAGATAGAAAATCTGGAGAACAGAGGAAGAGGAGGCGGGGAAGAGGAGGAGAGAGAGAGGGTGGGATGGGGAGGGGGGAAAATGGAGGGATTGAGCAGGTGAGTGAAGGAGGGAGTTGGGGGATGGGGGCGATAATTAGGTAGGGAAAGTGAGAGAGTGAGTAAGGCAGAGAGGTAGCATAGATAGACAGAATAGATAGATTAGAGAGAGATAGAGATAGATAGATAGATAGAGAGAGAGAGAGAGAGAGAGAGAGAAGAGAGGAGAGAGAGAGAAGAGAGAGAGAGAGAGGAGAGAGAGAGAGAGAAGAGAGAGAGAGAGAGAAGAGAGAGAGAGAGGAGAGGAGAGGAGAGAGAGGAGAGAGAGCGAGAGGAGAGAGAGAGAGAGAGAGAGAGAGAGAGAGAGAGAGAGAGAGAGAGAGAGAGAGAGAGAGAGCAGAGAGAGAGAGAGAGAGAGAGAGAGAGAGAGAAATATAAACAAAACAAAACACGAAAAGACTTCAAGAACTAAGGCCAACGAACAGA